CGTTTTAAGCTCGGTTCTCACAGCTGCGCAGGTATCCAAAATCTGCTCTGTACGTTGAGTCTGACTAATAACTTGGTTCTCTGCGTATTTTTTTTCACTTTTTATTTGTTTGTTAAACTAATATTTATTGTTTTATACATGTTTCAAAGAAATATACTATTATATTTGAAACTACCTATTATAAGTTCAGTATAATGATTTTACTTTAGCAACAGATATATTAAATGATTAATAACAAATACTAATTTATGTTTAGATAAAATATAGAGTTTATTGCAGTTATACTTTAAAAGAAAATGTGATTTGTAGTTATAAAAGAAGCAAATGATTAATTGTATATAAAGACACAAGTAGTTATGTAACAAGTTTATAGTTTATTTAATAAAGTATTTAAGTTATTTATATATAAAATATTATAACCAATCTACTATTTTTATTTAGATTATCTGTGTATAAAAATATTATAACAAGATTATAATTCATTTAAGTGATCTTATGTATGAAGACAGGATTACTCTTCTGAGAATTATTAAATTTATTTAATAAGGTATTTGATTATTATTGAGTTGTTAAACTGTTTTTTTACAAGAGCAATAATTGAAACTATTTATATATTTTGATTGTTATAGTCTTTTGCTATTATTTTTATTTTATTTTTTTTTGGTTTTAAAGTGACTTCTTGGTCATGCTGTATTTTTATTATTTTCAAATATTATTATATATATTTGGAGAGTATATTTAGTCATACTTGCACCTTTTGGGTGCCTATTTAAGTAGTCTGTCTATTAATAGGTTCTATATTATTTGCTGTACCTGCAACCCAACTAGGGGTTACCCATTTAAACCCTCTGCACCTATATATTTCAAGGCCTATGACAATTGGTATTCTTCCTCCAGTTCTAAGAACCAGTCTCACAAATACATCATTTCACATGCTGATTTAGAATTACTTTATCTTTGAGATAAACCTGGCAGAGCTCGCAGTATTCTTACTTTATACTATATCTAGCCTACACTTCAGTTTGGTACATACAGACTGTGGCCCACCATTTGCATTTCAGTTTTCTCTATTTTGGGAGTATATAGGTCAGGTTGAGATTATTGTCTATAGTTTTTTTTCAGCTTAAACTTTCTTCTGCTTTCTTTCTACAATTTAACCCCAGTTTTCAGCTGAACTCTGCTACCCAAACCTACTTTTGCCTTTGTAAAGTTCACTTAAACCCTAGAACTTACTTTACAGTATATCACCAGTACTTTAGTAACCTAGTTCCCTTTACCCTATACTACTATAGAAAAGCTTCTTAATATATACAAATTATACCCCCAATTTAAAAAAACAATTACGTACCAAATACATTATATATCTTAAACAACTTGTATCTAGCGATAATACTACTTTACTAGACTAGTTATATATCTCATTATGCTTACAACATATATCTAAAGGCCATAAACTCTCATAGTTTATAGCATTAGAAATCTAAATAATTATTAATCAACAAATTAGAGAAATTAATTCCCAACTTCACTTACACAATATTAACTCTTTATCTTTTAGTACTGGTCACTACAAAACTAGATCCAAACTCTGGCTTATTACATATACTGATAATAAATACTTCTAATATATTACTCTTGGAAAAGCAAAAAAATACTATAAGACAAGCAATACTATATCTATTATACACTAGAATATTTTGTTGGACCATTCACACTCTATCTTATATCTACTATCTGACTATATTTATATTTTATATACAAGATACTTACTAAACTCTAATCACATATATAATAAATGTATATTTAATATTTCTGCCAATCTATCAACCAAACTTTTAGCCAGAGTTACCTACAATAACTCTTTAAAAAAACTTAATTTATATGTTAATTTATTAGATTTGGTATACTCAATTACACTCTGAAATCCTACATGACTACTATTCTCATCTACAGTTATAATCTATAATAATATAATATTTGATATTTTCAAAAACAACCAAGTATCACAAATTTTATAACAAATTACAGCTAACAATGCTACTCAAACACATCTTACATTCTATACAGATAGATTAGTTAGTAATATTACTACTGAATGATATATAATGGATATTGGATAGATACAAACTTTAAATAATACTATTCAATAAATATTTTTTGCAGAAATCAAACTCTGGTCCTTCTAATATAAAGCCAAATTAATTGCAATTCTTTTTGCAATTAGTATATGACCTAGACAATGTAATATAACTATTTATACAGATTTACAATCCATCATATCAAAATATCACAAACTTAAAAACTCACTACCCACATCTAACAAACAATACTTCTACAACTACTGGTCTATTTGGCACACACTACTTAACCTTATTACAACATACAACTTACTATCAACTTTTAAAAAGTTGTAATATATAGCACCAATATATTCAACAATACTGCAAATAAGCTAGCTAAACTACTACTTGGCATACTTTCAACTTTATCATACTTATATTCATTATATCCCAAAACATTTTCATAGTTAAATTGCATAACATGCAATATATGAGAAAACCATTTTCATTGGCTTACATACCCAAATATATCTACTTTAAGCTCTACTATCACTAGTACAATACAAGAATTCTTTCACCCTAACAGACTTAATATAACAAGTGTATAGCTTTAAAATCTTCACAACAAACTCATTAATTACCAGTACCTTACTCCCAACTACAGTACATACTCTAATACAAATATATATATCACAATTCAGGGTTATATCTCTATTGCACTTATAGAAACTATACGTGTATTCACTGATTCCAATAAAATGGCTAATAAAATTACTGCCAAATTTCTTTTACAACTATCACAAAATATGTTCCACTGGCCCCAATAACACTATACTATATACTATATAATGCAGGCTCCCAGTTTGTTTGTAATAGCTAAAGCTAAAAAATAGTGTACTATAACAAAGTTGTGACTATATCAAGAGTGACTATAACGAGATCTAATTGTAGGCATAGTTCAGTCGTTAACCGATAACCTTTTAACAAATCAACACTACAATAGCAAGAAAAAAAAATTTTTTCCAAATTTTTATCTCTACAGGTTGGAAAAAAACAATATGCATTTTGAAGTGTTTATTTAATGATGCATTTATAGATACAAATTTAAAGTATCAATAATATTTTAAGTAAATAATGAATCGAATAATGCTGTATTAGAAACATAACTATTAAAAGAAAAAACGGGATTATATATTCTCTCCGTTAAAGAAATTCACTAAACAAAAGTTGCACCATAAGAATCATTATTCATTCTCTGGGCAGCGTAATGAGGTATTCCAGCTCCACCCGCATTCGTGATTAAACCATGTGAATTAACTAACCTTCTTGAAGCACCTCTCTGTTCTTCAATGATAACCTGTTAGAATTATAATTGTTAATAATTTATTCTATTCGATAAGTGCATTATGAGGATCTTTAGATATCTTACATCAGCAGTCCACAGAGCAGCTCCAACAACATTTGTCCAGAAAAAAACAAAATTAGCAAGAGGAACCAATTCTAAAGCAACAGCAACCATTCCAAACATTACGTAATCATCATGATATTTCAAAGCGAAACGGATTGACTGTTTTACGTTGAACTCTTTTATTTCTAGATGATAGTGCAGTTGATGACCCCATGTCATTATCCAACCATTAACATAACAGTACAGTATAGTTCCGACTATTGGTAATGCATTTAGTGGCATTGTAAGAAGAAGTGTCAATATCTAAAGCAATAAAAATCGAAAAAAAAAATTACATTTACATAATGTAAATAATAATTTACGATGAATGTTTTTGAAGACTTACTTGTAATAATATCACTGCATATATTTGAAAACAAGTTATTGTAAGGCCAGAACATACGCCTCGACAACAAAGTGTAGTTTCGGATATGTTTCTATGCCTTTCTAATATGTGACCAAGCCCTTTTAATCTTAAAACATCATCAAATAGGGCATCTTGCCATATTGGAGTGGCAATAAGGTAAAAGATAAGTGTAAATAGGAGTGCCTCAAGTAAACAAAATATAAAAGATACTATCCAGGCGAGCCATGCAGGGCATCCCACGTTTATGAGAGCATGGGCTTGAAGTCCAAGTAAAAAGCCAAAGCTCAAGCCAAACGCAACAACTGTGACAATTAAGGTTATGAATAAAATACATGTAATTCTTTTAACCAAGATCCAGTGTGAAAAAAAATAGAAAATCCCTTTGATCGGATAGTATGAAATTGGAAGCAACATGATATTATTTGACTAAAAAAAAAAACGTTACCAACCTTAAAAGCGGTAATCTCCGTGTATCACAAGTTCTAATTCCTGAGAGATCTACCCGTGATCATCCGTGATAATATTACATAATTTTTGCATAAACCGAGCATCTATAATATATAAGCCCGCTTTTAATTTACAGTTGTAATAAAGAGCTTGTACCTAATAAACTATATAATTTTAGATTTCAGTACCTTCACTTTATGGTATAATTTCACATGGTCCAATAGCTGTTTAATATATTGTTTCTTTTAAACAAAGTCCGTGAGGAATAAGACCTTTTTGAGAATCTTTCGTACAATGAATATTAGCGTTCGTTTAAAGCTGGAAATGGCTTTGTGGCGATTTTTTATTTGCAAAATATTCAGTTCTAAAAAAAGGTTACCCGGGCAATTGATTACATCAGCCAATCAGACGAATTTCCGCTTATGTGGTGTCTATCAAAATCTTGAACATCAAAATAACGATAACGATAAGCTTTCATTCGTTAAGTATTTAATTCGATCAGTCATCGAGCATCGGTCAAAGTTAAATTTTAACTGTGTTTTGACAATGATAAATTTTTTGTTTAAATGATAGTTTTTATAAATATTAATTTAATAATCTTTCAAATTGACACAATTCAAAAACACGGAATTTGATTTAATATTGACTGCATCTTCTGTTAATGTTCTCGTAGAATTCTTTCTTAATAACGAAAAGGACGAATCTAATCGTATTAATATTTTCAGCTTGTGAAGAACCAAAATCCAATATATAGGAGGCTATTACTGATAGTTCCGCAAAACAAAATTCGAAATACGTGGTAGGTCTAAAACGACCTGGGTTTGGTAGCGCCTTTATTCAATAACTAATAAAGATGGAACTATTAAAGATGGCAAAGAAACGCAATATAGCGCTTTTACAAAAAAACAATTTTAAGTGAAATGGTACAAAAATTTCTTGCAATTCCTGCAACAAACACACAAAATGAATGCCTATTTTTGGTGCAGAAAGTGTTAAAACGCGAAGAGAAAAGTATCAAATCCAAAGGTTATTTGGCATGATATTTCTAAAACGTTTAATATAAAGACAAATATTTTATTATTTCTGATATTTAGGATTAAGATATAGTTGTTCTGATAAATGTATATTAATAACTTAATAATACAAATCGAGAGTTTGGACAAACAACGTTCAAAATTCATAAGTTTACCTCTGGTGAATTCTAAGATTTGGTAGTTCTACCACAAAATCCTGACATCCAAATCCCGACAATTCATAACTCGACATAGATCAGATTCCAGCAGTTCATAATATAAACAAGGAACGAGAACTATCAGGATTGTCAGGATTTGGTCCTTGATAGACTGTCGAGGTTTTGGATGTGGTAGGAAAGTTTGTGTTAGAATTACAGCTGTTTTCAAAAAGATGTGGAAAGGCAATTTTTCTCATGTACATATATATGGGGAGCCAGGAAATCCAATAATGACTTAAAGATAATGAACTGTTTATCGTATCACATATCAGATATCTATATTCAGATATTAGTTCTTTATTATTGCGTTCAATGCCTAACGCTCTAATTACAAAAATACAAACGAAGAAATTTCTTTGGATGTTAGCTAGGGTTGTTAATGGGTTGGGTTGGGTTGGTTTTGGTTGACCCATCTTCAACCCACTCCACTAAATTAGACTTACTCCAATATTTTGCTCCGGGTTGCTCCATAGTACTCCGGGCAGGGACGTGGAAAAATTTGGATATCAAATCGTAAATCTTTATTTGTGTATCAAGTAATATTTGGGTAAAATTTGGATAAA